AAAAACATTTCAAGTTTAAGCACCTCAGAGGTCGCTTATCCTTGTGACAATGAATCGTCCTGCTAGTCAGTGCAGCTACGTACAATTCCACTCTACTACTGCAGAAATATCTCCTCTCACTCTCACATGTTGTGATAGTTGCCTGCCCTGTCTGGCCCTAAAGTTGTATTTTTCACATAATTATGCGATTCCCATAGCAGTTACTTAACACTTATGTGTGAATATGTATAGCTCCTACTATTTTTGAGGGTGGTTTGCAAAATTTGGGCCATGATGTTCTCTAATGGTCCCAGCAGAAGGATGTATAATGCTTTAATTATAAACTTAATGTTGTATATTTTTCGAAAAATTCTAACATTTAATTTTAGTATTGTTTTTGCCGGAACTAATCCAAAAAGTATGCCTAGACGTTGCAAGCCACAAATTACATAATAAGCCTTATTATTTCTGGAATTATGACCGAACTGAAAAAGGGCCGTAGCTGCTCATATCGTATCAAATTGCAAAAACCAAAGATGGTTAAATGTTTTTCAAATGTCCCAAATAAATGTTGTTAATTTTAAGCTTGTACACAAATTAAACACAATCCTGCAGCACCACTGCCGTTGCTCTTGTTGTTGTTGGGCAGCTCCACAGAAAAGGATTTTCTATCCATGTTGCTGTGGTGGGCTTAAAGTTATGAAAGGCTGCTCATGACGGCCACACAAAGAAACCACACAAAGGTTTTAAGTCCCCTTTTTTTTTGGTGTGGGCCCAGTGACAGTTAGGCAGCTAGCAGTGTGTCCGTGTGGTTGTCTGTCCATTCATTTGTTCAAAACAACCTGAATGTTACTAGGAAAAAACAGTAACAACAACACCATCAGCAAATGTGTACCCTTTTATAATCTGCTCTCAAAGGGGGAGGTTAGAGCAAAAGATATTCATTTCATTTGCTTACCACTTCATTTGAGGGGGCCTTTGCGGTTTACGGCGAAAAAGTTCCCATCTTTTTTGTTTGCCTGTGAAAATGCTCTCAGGTTACCTACCGGCCGGAAAGTTGATGATTTTGTTGTTGTTGCTGTTGTTTTGTCAAGTTCAGGGTATGCTTCAACAACTGTCAAACAAAATGTTGTGACATTATGTTGGCAGCAACATCTAAACCCTAAAAGTGTGCTTTTAATGATGAAGAGAAACAAGTGTAACGGAAAATAGCCGAGCTTAATATAATTAAGAAGGTGTGTGTGTGCTTTTAGGCTAAAATCTGTAATTGTTTTTTATTTTTCTGTTTCCCTTGTGACTTAGATTCGAAATGATGTTGAAATGCTGTAGGTCACTTTTACGTAATTTGAACTTGAAATTTTGATTTGTTTTATTTGGAAGCGACAGTGTTAAGCTCCAGGGTTGGACTATAGCTTGGGACCGTTGTAAAGGAATTTATGAAAAATAAGCTTATTATTAATTGTACCAGAAAATGGAGTTCATGCGATATTAAGGACAAATATTGCGGGAGGATAGTTTTATTTTAACTACAGTTTTAATTATTTGAAGAAAATACTTACGTTTTTAATTTATGAAATAAGTAAAGATTTTATTTTATTATTTTCAATCTCATTTTTATTTAGTTTATTTTTTCCTTTATTCATTTTTTTATAATATTATTCACATATTTTCTCATTCCATCTTAATTTAGTTTGTTTTTTGGTTAAAAATTCGTGTATTTTTTTTTTTTTTTTGGTTATTTCTATTTTTATTTATTTTTTTCGACTCACATTCTGTGTTCTTCTAATTTTTATTTACAAAGTGATGTTTTTGTTTTGTAAATAATGCAGTATAAAAATTATTCACAAAATTCACAAATTAAATGAACTCAACTAGAAACATGAAGTTATTCAATTAATTTTAATTAATTGCGACAAAGTGGTTATGGAATAATTTGTTGTAATGAGGATTAATTAGAATCTGGTTGTATATATGAGTATGTAAGTACGTGTATGAGAATGTGGGTGTGTGTGTGTAGGGATTATGTAATAATAATATCCTGTTTAGAATAATCAGTTAGAAGTAATATCGTTAATCATAATGTAAATGCATCAGTTCTGTTGTTAATATTTTCAAAATTGGTTTTTTGTTCTTAGGGTTTTTTGCTGTTTGTTTTTGTTTTTTTTTTTTCGTTTTTCATTTGGTTTCAGTGGACATTGTTTGCATTCTATTTACAAAATGTCTAAAATCTTACAATTAAAATTTATTTTTCTACTTATGAATACATATTAATTTCCTTTTTCGTTTTTCTTTCTTTTATTTTCAGATTATAGATAGGTAAGTTTTGTTCGTAAATTTAGTATGTGTTTTTTTTATAATAATTTAACTATTAGTTAATAGGTTTACTTATGTTCTTGTTCTACAATTAGTATCACGATTGTCTTTTCAAACTAAAAATTTTTGAACAGAAAAAAGTCAAGTGAATTTTAACTTAATAATAATTTAAAGAAACTAGATTCTTGCCAATTAGCTATTTATTAGTTATTTCTAAATAAAATTGTAACATTCGACCTGTATTTTTTTATTAATTTTTTATTAATTATTTTCCACACAGGATTCTGACCCATTTTCCATAATATAATATATTTTTAAGGTCCGGCCCAGATCCTGTGTAAATATGGGATATATTGGCCCACAAAAAAATTATAAGTAAACTTCACTTATGCCAGGCAAGTGCAATATCGACCCACAAAAATTGTAAAAAAATGTTGTCATAATTTTTATACCCTCCCCCATAGTATGGAGGGAGGGTATATTAAGTTTGTCATTCCGTTTGTAACACCTCGAAATATACATTTTAGACCCCACAAATCAATGTCGATTTAGCGATGTCCGTCCGTCTGTGGAAATCACCCTAGATTCCGAAGGAAATGAAGTGGGTTGATAAAATTTTACTCAAATGTATATTATGTTTGCAGGACTTTTGGTGATCATGTAGATCCATGTTTAACGGTACCTCCCGATATTCGGTGCTTTGATGATTTAAACGACATTATTCACCGGAATTGTTTCAAATTTTGTGCTAGAAGTGCGTAATGGATACTACAGGCTATGACAGAAAATTATCTGTGCAAAACGTCGTTTTGGTATAACCCCCATTGTACCTCCTTATACTCGGTATTTTGATAATTTTTGCTACATTATAAACAGATTTTTTTCAGACAGAAGTTTCCTATGCAGGTCCACGTCGTCGTATAGACCCAAATACAACGGCTACATTCGGTATTTTTTAAGACAAAAAAGGTAAAATTAAAATGCTTAAAATTGCGGTAATTAACGAAATTTTTCATCAAGTTACCGACCAAAATAAATTAGTCGTTTAGTCCTAGCGATAGAAACAGTGTTGCCAACATTAATTTGGATTTTTCGTTTATAATTTTGCGTTTTAATTTTACCGATAACTGTCGGTAACTCAAAAACTGCGATGGAGAATCCCACAACAGGTCTTGAACCAAGAATATTTATATGAAACGTAGGTCGTGTGCAATAGTTGGAAATATCGCCCACTCTCTTTCGTGGCCTTTTCTCTAAACAGGGTCAACATTTAAAGTAATTACGAGGCTTGCGTAGGTCAAATATGCCTTGAGAAATGTCGAAACTTGCCACATTGTAATATTAACATTATTACCAAACTTCGATCAAGTACGGAAAGGGAAGATATCAGTACAATCTCGTTCTATCTTCCTCTTTTTGGTTTTGATCATTTGAAGTCTATTGCCCTGCAATAACACCCTCAACTCTTGACCATAAAGAAGTAAAGGGGTGACTCGTATTTAAAGCATTTTTAGTTTTTATACTCCAGTCCACTTCGGGATATTTTTTTTTTCAAGAGATTGTTTCCCCCTCTTGATGTTCTCATATGGTCCGGAATCCATTCATCAACCATAAACATTTCTTCCGTTTTGTCTAGACATTTTGAATTTCCTCTTTTTTGCTACTCAAAGTGTGCCACAGATTAAATTGATCTAACATTCCACTACGTGTAAATTTAATTTTATTGTGTATTTATCCGGTCGTATATTCACATTTGGTATATCTTGTAAAAATTGGAATATGAAGATTTTTTATAAATTTAAGATATCCGACGACGCACGCCAAACGGGAATTGGATTCAAAAGCATGGATTAAACATATTTGCCTTATGAAGCTTAATTTCAGTTACATACCAGGTCATTTGAAGTCTAATTTTTGTTCTTCGTGTAGGGAAGAAGCCTCGGATTTACTTTTCTATTTCAGAAAGTGGATATTTGGCTGGGCATTTAATTTTTGTGGGCTTTATCACACCAACAACAGACGATCATTTTAAAATTATCGGAGTTCTGAACTATTTTCCTTAGCGATGAATATTGGGTGGGCCAATATATTCCACTTTTGGTACCATTTAGACAAACAATCGTCAGGTCATGTAAAACTTTAGAAAATTTAAAAAAAGTTAATATTTCCAAATCAAAACCTAATGAATCTCTGAAATCAAACCTTGCCACGAAAAGGTGGCAGTAAAAATACATAGTTTTATATAATCTTAATATACATATGTATATGTCTAGTGTTTTTTTTTTTTTTGTTGCAAATATCATTTTATATAGTATGTACATACAAACGAACATAATGAGCGATCATTGCTTCATTAATTTCCCATCGGCTCAGGGCGAAGCGTTAATATACGCTCCCATCTGTTTAAGTCCTTTTGTTTAGGCTTTCGCTAAATATACAACTAAGTAATGGTATTATTAAGCTATTAATTATCATTAATTTAGTTGATGTGTTTTTCGTTTTTTATTTATAAATATATATAATTATCTATATGTATATGTATGTATGTATAAGTTGGATGTATTTGTATTGTTTTACAATAAAATATTCGTTTATGAGTTTTGTTGGGTTTTGTTTTGGTTTTTCTGTCTTAATCAATTATTTTATTTGTTTTTTTGTTGTTCTTCTATAATAGGAATCAATGGCCCATTGTTGTTTTTGTGTGAGTGTTTTGTTTTTCTGCTTCTTCTTCTTCCTCGGTTTTTATACCTATAAATATTTTAACTTATTTTTAAAATTCCTTAAATTGCAATAACATGTCATTCATAATTTCCATATCAACGTTAAATGGGAGTTTTTATTTTCTCTTTTTGTTTTTATCCACGCCCAGTGAGTGACTGAGTGAGTGAGTGTTTTGTTCGACAGTACAATAGTAGTCACTTTGACATATTCGAGGGGTATAAAACTTTAACAACTGTTTACGTTAGTTTTCACTTTATTTTTCGTTTTTCATTTTCAGTTTTGTCGCTTAAACGTAGTCATTTACACTAGATTTTCATTTACAAAGGGAAATAATTTACATCATTTAACTGTACAAAAGTAAGAGATCACGGCCTTTGTGCGATGTGTATGAGTTGGCGGTGGATGGTTTGCTGGCTGGGTGTCAGTCGATCCGCCTGCCAGCTTACCTGCCTGGCTGCCAGCTACACATCGCATTATGGCGTGACAAAGTCAAATAAAGACTTCTTTGTATTCATTTAATGAAATGAGGATAATGAGGCTTACGATTATCAAAGTGTCATACCGAACAGGGGCAGGACGATGACAGCAAACGAAATGAGAAACAGCTTTTCGCCGGAACTGCTGAGGGCTGATGCCTGACACAGTAGATCTTCGGGGAAAATTTCCAAAATCGGCATCTGTTTGCCAGAGGTGGGATCATGGCAGGTATTGGCACGAGCACGCTGAAAGAAAAAAAAAAAAAACAAAAAGAAAGAAAGTTGTTTGTGTGTTTTGTTGTTCAATGCGAAAAAAAAGTAACAGTTTGTTGGCAATCAAAGTTTTAACTAGCTTCCAAGCATTATACAACACAACACTTATATAAAGCTGAGCAGAAAATAAAATAGAACGCTTACGCGTATATCACGTGAACGCAAAGGAAGCTGGCATTCGAATTTAAAAGAAAAGAAAATAAATAGTTAAACAATGTAAACAAAAATTAAAGAATTTAGAGAGAGGATTGTAATCTACCACATCCTTAGGATATGCGAAATTATTCCTGAGGCTTTAAAACTTTTTCCCGAGTTGCCAAATTTAAAATAAATCCTTCACTGTATGCAATTGTGTGCTATGACCGAATAAACTATCCTTAAAACCCCTAAATTGAGGAATTAGACGAATTAGACTGCCCGCTAAGATAATCAAATTACAGCTGATTTGATTGGAAATTAGAAACGAAACCTTCAAAGTACTAAAATTCAGGAGGTACCGCTTGAAATATCGGACATCAAAAGGAATGATTTTAAGGGGCGTCTTCGCGGGAAGTTAAATAATTAACAGAGAACTCGATATACCCAAATTCAGGTGATTTGGTTGGAAATCGGGGCCTTATTCTACCAAATACCGAAAATGAGACGGGATAACCTTATATTGGAAAATATACCGAAAAGTGTATCTATAATGCTTTTTGAGGAGTTAAACTATCCATTTAAAACTTGAAAAATTAAATTATGATTGAATTTGGTTGGGAATTTGAGGCCAAAACCATTGAAATACTTAAATTCAGGCGGAACTGTTAAATTGGCGCTGTACTTAAATTTGAACCTATAAAGGTAATTTTCAATACTGAATATCCACGAATTATTTTTATGCCTGTATGAGTTTTTTTTTTAATTTCTATTATTAATAGGGCGAGATCTATTCAGCGTTCTTCAGTTGGAAGGAGAGACGGACGTGTATGGTTTAATAGACATAGAGGTTTTCTTAATTCATGATTTTTATGGTCTATGTGTTCTCCGACGACTTTTTAAAGATTTTAGATAATTTTAATATAATACTCCATGAAAGTAAATATTTTAGAGAACGGATCATGATGTAGATACCCTACACCCATTGATATGTGAAATAATATCTGTGCTTATATTCCGTATAACACTTTCTGGTTAGGTTATCATATTTCCCCCTTTCTTTACTGTTATACCCTCCACCATACTATGGAGGGAGTTATTCTGACCAGTGTAAAATTCTAAGTCGATTTAGTGATGTCCGTCTGTTGCCAGTAGGCAGATAGGTTCGTAAATTGTCCATGTCGGTCCACGTTTTCGTATAGCCCCCATATAACGGAACCTCTCAATATTCTAGATTCTATGATTCTATAGACATAACATAACGTAATTGTTTCAAATGTTGTATTTGAAGTTCGTAATGGGTACTACAGCCTGTGACGATTGCCTATGGGAGTCCACGTTTTCGTAACGATACCTCCCGATATTCGTTAGTTTGATGATTATAGCGACGTTATTTACTGGAGTTGTTCAAATTTCATAAATGAAGATCTGAATTGGTGTTACAAAAAAAAAAAAAAAAAAAAAAAAAGACATAGGCAGGTCCACGTCTTCATAAACAAACGTATGAAAGTCCACGACTTCGTATAGCCCCATATACTGGTTTTCATTCAAGCGGTATCTTTCGACGGATTTATTTTTATATTTTTATAGTTCCTTCCAAATGGTAGACTGTATTAAAAGTTGCACCCGGATGAACTTAGTTGCTTTTTTGTTTTATTTTTTTTTTTTTTGGGGAATCTAAACTAGACATGTGGAAGGAAGGATGGGCTTTGCTTAATTTACTTAACATTTCATACTGAGAAAATCTCAAAAATAACCAAGATAAACTCCTTTTCGGACGTGATGAAAATCTCAAACAAAAACTGTGTCAGCTTCTGAAGTAGTGTCCCAAAATATATATAAATCTACGGCTATTATCTTCTAAATCCTTAAACAATATTTCTTGAAAGATTCGCGACTAAACACCAAACACCAAAAATAAAGACCTTTAAATATCTGAGAAAATTTCCTTCACAATTCCGTGATTATAGTCCTATTAATCCACTAAGTGAGCATAAAAAGAGAAAATATAAAATTTCCATGAATTTCATATTTATGTGGTCTCGCTCTGAAATTATATTGTACTTTCAGTAAGTCAGAAATCAGTATTTGTTCTCATATCTTACAGTACAAATTATTCCTACTTCCTCTAATGTGTTGCATTTCTTCTACAGGTTCTAATAAATATTAATTCGAGGCACCCAAACTTTAAAATATCAATTTTAAATACCATAATTTAAGATTTTCGATATTTTTCCGCTTTCGACCATTAAACTATCGAATATTTAAATTGACATACGAATATCAGATACACTGAGAAAAATATCTTCAACATTCCATATTTTCAAACAAAATTATAAAATTGATTCCAATTTTCGAACAATTGCCAAAATTCCGATTAAATAACATATCACTCCTCTCCTCATACATACCTGCACCATTTGTTTCATATCATCCTTCTGGATGACTTTTATTTGAGCAGATTCACGCAGCCATCTCCGCAGCCAGTGGCCAAACCACACAAGTCCGCATTCACATTCCAGGGGATTATTGGAGGTCTGTAGACCACCGATAATGCTGCGCGTACCCACCGTATCCCAATAGGTTTTATTTGGATAGAAGCTATCGGCTGCCAGGGCATTGATTTTGTTGTCCGATATATCGATGGAAAGATGTGGCACCAATCTCAATGGATAGAAGATACCCGGTGGTAGATCGGAAATTTTCGTGTGGGATATTTTGACCTGTAGCTTTTGATTGCGGGCCAGGCCTTCAAATGCATCGGGCGATATGGTTTGAATGTTGGTCCCATACAATTCCACCAAATGTAGTTTGGTGTTGTTGCTTAATTTGGCAAACAATTGACCGCCAATATTGGCGTCCACGCTGTGTACTTTCAGTTCCTGTAGTCCCGGTATCCGGGAAACGATTTCACCCAAATTACTGTGGGCTGTCAGGTGTAACTTTCTCAGCGATCTCAGTTTGGAAAATGCCAGGGGATTGATTACCTTCACATCTAGCAGATTCAGCTCTGACAGGTGTCTCAGGGCGGCCATATCATGTACAGTTATTCGTCGCAGGGGATTATGGGCCAAGTCCAAGACCCTTACCGATTGTGGCAGATGTTCCACCGCACACGAGGCATTAACAAATTTATTATGCGACACATTTACATATCTCAGCTGGCGCATTTCATGCAGCGATGATAGTTCTTGCAAAAAATTGCCACTCACATCCAGATGTGAAAGTTGCGGAAGATTAAGTTGTGGCAGAACATAGAGACCCATATTGAATATCTTGAGACGCCTTAGACGTGGTGTGTGCAGGAAGATCTCCTTGAGATTGGTGGTAACCAAGGGATTGGCAGATAAATCCAAATTCGTGAGATTATTCAAGAAGCTAAAGGTGTTGTCGGGCAGCACCGTTATCTTGTTGTACGACAAATTGATATCATACAAGAATTGGGAGTTAATAAACATGCTCGAGTCCAAGTACTCCAGGAGGTTGGCAGACATTTGTATGTTGCGCAAAGTGAATCCCACATCGGAGAAGGCCGGCACTGGCCATACTGTCAACTGGTTATCGGATATATCCAAATATTCTAGCCTGGTGTTCATGAAGACTTCGCGTGGCAAGGCTTTTAATTTGTTGCAACGTATTTTCAGAATCCTTAGCTTCCTCAAATTCGAAAACTGCTCCACCTGTAACTGATCCAAACGATTGTAACTCAAGTCTAATTCCTGCAATGAATTTAGACCCTGAAAACTGCGACGTCTCAGACTGGTGATGTTATTATGGGCCAGATTGAGTATTTCCAGAAATTCCAAATCACCAAATGCATGATTGGCCAAATTCTGTATGGAATTGTGAGCTAAGTTCAGAAATCTCAATGTGTTGGCTAGATTGGCAAAACTTTCGGGCTTGTTGATCAAGTTGTGGCTCATGTCCAAGTTGTAAATGTACATGTAGGATGAGAGGGTGTCCTCGAAGTGGCCGATGCGATTGTAGGTGAGGTTCAGCTTCAGCGGGGTGGTGGTGTTCGAGACGTAGTGGAACGATTTCAGCGAGAATGAACACAAATTGTTGAACATCAGATCCAGAGCCGCTAAGTTTGGCAGTGTGGTAAATGCTTGATGTGATATGTTGGACAATTTGTTGTACGACAGATCGATGTATCGCAGGAATTCCAAATTGTAGAAGGCATGTTTTTCGATTAAGCGTATCTTGTTTGACTGTAAATTGAGCGTTTGTAAGTCGCCCAGATTGAAGAAAGTGAGGGAGGCCAACTTCTCAAGGGAATTGTAGCCCAAGTCGATTTCCACCAAATGCGAATGTACCTCCGGCAGAAATAAGCCTTTAGGCAGCGACTTTAGTTGATTGAATCCCAGATTGATGTATGAAAGTTCGCGCATATTTAAAAATGACTCATTGTTCAAATGCTTGAGATTATTGTTGTCCAGTCCCAGCCACATTAACTGTGACAAGGGGTAGAGGGCATCCAATGGATCTATGGATTCCATGCTGCGTGCAGGAAACACTGCAAACGACAACTCCAAAATCTTTAACGTTTTGGAGACATTTTCAAATACCATCGGATGATGGATGTTGATGTCATTGAAACTGAGTGAAATCTCCTGTATTTGATCCAATCCCGCAAAGGAATTCAAATGCAGATGGGTGATTTTATTATTTCTCAAGAGAATCGTTTGCAAATTCGAACCCCAGGAGTCCACGGTGAAAATGCTTTCAGGAATATCACCTATGGAGTTATAACCCATATTCAAATACGAGAGATTGGTGTAATTCTTAAGACCCAATACGGGGATCATGGTGAAGTTGTTGCCACTCAGCGATAGAACTCTTAGGTTTTCAGTATTCTCCGGTAAATTACTCAATTGGTTGATGTTATTCGATGTCAAGTAGAGATATTTCAGGCGATTCAGGCGACTTATGGCCCCAGGAACTGCATTCAAATTGTTACGTTCTAAGTCCAGATACTCTAGTGTCTCCTCTATGCCCTCAAAGGCATTGACATGTATCCTCTCAATCTCATTGAAGGCCAACACCAAATGCACCGTACCTATGTCTCGGAACACAGCCGCCGGCAGGTGTCGTATGTAGTTCTTTTCCAAATTCAACGCTCTGATATGGACATCCGAGTAATTCGTTTGAAAACAATCCGTTTCCAATGCCTCTATCAGATTCTTGCCCATGTCCAATTTCTCCAAATGTATTCGCACCTGCCTCTGGTCTTTTGTCATTAAACTTTTCACCAGGTTATCACGCAGTGAAATAATTCGCAACTCATACAGATGTTCGAACAGGTGATGGGGAAAGGCTGACAACAGGTTGCCAGACAAGTCAATTGTTATGAGGCTGCGGGGCAGAAAGTTGGGTGAGATGTGATAAATTCTGTTGTTCGACAGGTCAAGCCATAACAATTTCTGTAAACGATTAAATGGTTTTCCCGCTTGATGGCTGTTGCCGCCGCCACCGCTGCTGCCCATCGAGTGGGTAAGGCCTGTTATGGAATTGGAGGATATGTGTGAGCCGCCTTTGAGAAGGTGTTCATCTTTGGTTATGGTTTGAATGGCAGCCGATGAAGGATGGCTGACACCGTCATGCAGTGAGGTGGGCGATACTTCGGTAATGTCATTACCAGCTAAATGCAGAGACCTTAAGGTGTCATGCTGTGCCTCCCAGTTGACATCTAAAGATGTGATGTGATTCCTATTGGAAGGGGTGTTAAAAGCAGAGAAATGGGTAAGGGAATGAAAATAATGAATATTGCTTTTGTAACATTTTAATGGGAGGTTGTTATTGTTGTGAGAGAGAGGTGAGAGAAAAAAAGGGGTTGGGATACTCCTAGAAAGTCTTACCTTTGGGCAACCAATCGCGTTAGTGAGTGTAGTTTCTGTAGCGCCTCATAGGGTATATGCTGCATTCTATTCCCTGATATGTCCAATGTCATTAAGCTGTGAGTCATTGTGCTGCAATGAACAAAAGAGGGGAAATGTTATAATTTTCATTGTATATAATTCTTTCGAACTCATATCTTAAATCCTTTCGTAATTTTTATATAAATTTTGATAAGTGAATCTAATACCCTGCACCATACTATGGAGGGTATAATAACTTTGGCATTCGGTTTGTAACTCCTCGAAATTCTTATGTCAGACCCAACAAAGTATAAATGCTCTTGATCGAACAAATTGAGATAGAAGGCTAAAATTTTGCACACATGTGTATTTTCCCAGTAGGGGGGATGAGTTTGTTACTGGGTCTAGTCAATCTACGTTTTCGTTTACCCCCCATATAACGGGAATATTTCGGATTTCGTATTATCTTATCTTATCTTAATTGATACTTCAACCTATAACAGAAATTGTTCTACGCATGTCCACGTCTGCGTATACAACACATATAACGGGACCTTCCAATATTCAGTATTTTTATGGTATTAGAGACATCATAGGCCGGAATTATTTCAATTTTTGTATTTGAAGTTTGTAATGGGTACTGCAGCCTATGACAAAAATTGCGTATGCAGGTTAAAAGTCTTCGTGTAGCCACCATATAACGATGCCTTCCGATATTCGGTATTTTGATGATTTTAGTGACGTTATTCACTGGAATTGTTGTAAATTTCGTATTTGAAGTTCGTAATGGATACTTCCCCCTTTGGCAGAAAACTGTCTATAGCCCTCATATAACAGTTTCATTTAAACCGTATTATTCGAATTTTTTTTAAACTGTTTCAAGTTCCTTTTAAATTGTGGTGGGTATTAAAAGTTTGGCCCGGCCGAACTCAGGTGTTTTTTTACTTGTCATTGTGTCAGATATTCCATATCTGTGTCTGTACTCAAAAGAAAAAGAAAATGTGGAAATAGCTTTTGTTTGTGGCTCTGGAAATCATGTTTACGAAAATCCTTACAAGGCCTTTCAAACCCTTCGATTATCAAGTTTTCCTACCCAAAGAGTCTCTATATACCTTTTATCTATATTTTCAATAAATTATCTGCAAATTAAACTTGCCTGCTCTGACTTAAAAATAACCTCTATATAGCATGTCTTTGGGCAATTTACACCGATTTGACAATTATTGGCAGTTTGTTGGTTGGTTGCCAATCTCTCTTCCAAACTGAAATCCTCATTTTTCTAATTTGAAGTTTATATAGATTTTTTTGAATAACCGGGATTTTTTGTGACCCTTCCATAACTTTCATACTCTTCAAATTTAACATACACTCGTAGCATACAGAAGCAAGGAAACAATTGCGGCATCCTTTGTATGTGTTTGGGAAGTGGTCCTACATATCTGTATGAGTGTGTTTGTGTGTGTGTGTATTTGTTAATCTAAGGCAACCCCGGCAATTATGAAAACCGAGACATTTAACAAGTAAACCCTCATAAAACTGGATATAATCAAACACAAAACTAATATTTGCGGTTTTATTTTATAAAACCCAACTATAGCAACAACAACAATTGTTCCTACTCAAAAAAAAGCATTACCGCAAGTGCAGCACAAACAAGACCAAAAACAACAACAACAACAAAGGGACATGTACAACATGTAGCTTAGTTAAGAGTTAATAATAGGCAGCAATTCTGTCTACGTTCGATGGCAAAATAAACCACACACACACGTATTTATTTTATAATCTCCCCCACACAAACACACACGAATATAACGTGGTAAGTGTAAAATAAAAGGCTTTTTGTGGGCAACTCATGTACATATACATATATGTATGTATGTGGTCGAACGTGTATGCGTTTTGTGGTAAGTTACAAATACAATCAATAAAAGGAATTCTGGGGAATTTCTTTGATTTTATTTTTTTTTGAGATTTTGTTAGGGGTCAAATATAATATTTCTGTCCTTTTTTATATTGTACAGGGATTTCCATTTAAAATATTTTTTTCATAGCTTTCGAAAGGTATTCATACTAGTTTTTTACAATCTAATTCTAATACCGCAACAACTCATAAAGATTAAATGTACAAGGGCTTCCAAATCCCAATTGCCCGTTGTTGGCGATACAGACTGTGGTGTCGGGTCCGTGTAATATTGGGAAAAAATAGAAGGCGTTGTCCAATGTAAGGGAAACTTTATACAAAGAAAGAAAAATATGAAGTTTAGCAAATATTGGTTCCGATTTTAATATAACTACATACAGGGTGAGATGAAAAAACTGCAAACAAATTCAGACTGCTGTTATTTCTAAGCCACTCGTCCGACAGCTGTTAAAATTATTCCAGTGACAGCTCATTTTATTGTCTACAAGCGTACGAAAGCATTTTGGTTAGAATTTTCCAGAAACAAAGTTATTCGTGATGAAATTCAAGCGTGATAGTGTGATTTTTAATATTTGGCTGGAAAACCACAAGTGGCTATCGTTGGAGCACTACAGCACTTAAATAAATCTCGCTCTTTACCGTGATACTGGTAGCGTAGCCCGACGCCAAGGAAGTGGACGAAAGAAAACAGCAACATCAGCAGAAATGGTTCGGAAAGTAAAGAAGCGACTTGATCGAAACCCGCGTCGCAGTGGCCCAAAAATGGTTCGTGAGCTGAACATATCGCAATATTCCATTCGGCAAATATTGAAAAATAAACTCGGGATAAATCCATTGAAGTTCCAACAAGTGCAAGAACTTACACCGCAACAAAAAGAAAGAAAATAGACTCAAAAGAGCTAAAGAGTTGCTTCGCTTAGCCGAAAGTGGTGAACTGCCGAATTTGGGTTTCTCCGATGAAAAAACATTCATTGTACAGTGGTTTGTAAACTAACAAAATGGTCTTGTTTTCTTGCCAAAGAGGTCAGCTGAAAATGTGCACCTTCGGTTGGCCACCAGAACTCAAGCGCCTGGTGTGGGCCGCCATAACAGCTGATGGTCGGTCTCCGCTCGTATTATTCGACCGTGGCATTAAAATAAATACCGAATATTATCGCGAAAAATTCTGGAGGGCACGCAAACATCTTGGCCGCAGACCTTGGACATTCCAACAGGACTCAGCAACATCGCACTTAGCACGCGCCACTCAAGAATAATTACAAAATGCTTCATTTCCAGCGCACAATGGCCATCAAAATCTCCGGATACCAATCCGTTGGACTATTGTGTCTGGAGTATTTTGGAAAATAAGGTTGGCACTAAAAAATACCAAAGTGTCGATCACCTCAAGCAAGCGCTTCGCCGGAAATGGGCCAAAATACCGCAGAGCAACATTCGGGCAGAGTGTGACCGTTTGAAGGCCATAATTCGTGCGAAAGGTGACCATTTCGAATAAATCTAAACTTATTATAAAATTTGAAGCTATTTCCGACATTTTGAGCTTTGATTCAAAAAAATTAAAAAAAAAATGAATAAATTATGGGATTTGACTTTGTTGCAGTTTTTTTTATATCACCCTGTATTTAATTGCCTATTCAGTAACTGTAACTATGTGAGATTTATACGTAATAAATCTCACATAGTTTCAAATAGTTGCTGATTATATTTACTCAATTCGCTTCGGAAAAGAAACTAACGAAAAATTTAGATTGGATTCTTGTTCCATGAAAACATGAAATAATAACATTTTTTTATGACACATTTTCATAGAAAAAAATTGCGAACTGGTCGGCGAGGGCTGAAAATTGTTAAATATCCTCTACAAAAAAAAAATAAATAAATAAAAATTTAAGAATTTTCCTATATTTTCATTGGTGAATTGGAACTATAGTTAATGTCAAGTTCTTTGGTTAAGATATCACATTTATCGTCAGCGGTCCAAAATTACTGCTGAGTAAAATCAATTGAAGCGAAATTTTTCAGCATTTTTAGTAAACCCCCCATCTTAGGTTTTGCAGAAAGTCCCACAATTTTTTTTATGCTTGGGCTAATATTAACTTAAAAAATTATTGACCTGAAAATAGTATGCTATTTCTTGTAGAAAACCTCTTAATAGCCCTTTTAATAAAATGACTAAATGATTGACTGCCTCTCCAATTATTTTATGAGGAACCACAAATCAAATGTGTTGACAAGTTTCATATTAAATGTGTCAAAATTATTGTAAAATCATTTTGAACTTTCCTCATGAATCGAATCCTAATGAAGGACAGTAATGGAAATAATTTGTTTTGTACTAGATGCCCCTTTTGTGAAATTGTGGTGATTATTGTTACGAGTGTTTCCGTTTTAGATGTTGTGGATGGTTTTGGCTGGCAGCGTCTGTGTGCGTGTTGTGCCTGCAAAATGTCAATCAATGGTCAAATATAAACTTCTCACAAAATCGAAATTAGAAAATAGAACCATTCAGTTAACTATAATTATCTATTTTGGTATTGTTGTGTAAAAGGGTTTGGCTTACAGTGGTTAGGGAACTGGAAAAAGGTGGAACAAGGTTAGAGAATATCAACACAAAAGTAAAAAAAAAAATATAATTTGAGTTTGATTTTAAGCCAAAATACCTTACAAGTCTCTATATATATCTGGGTCAAAATCTATACAAAAAAAAAAAAAATAAATAAATAAATAAATAAAAAAATAGGATTATAGGATTATAGGTATAAACAGTAGCAGAAAAAAACCTTTAAAATTTAAATACGTTCGTGATGATCTAACTCTTATCTATCTATATGGATTAGATAAATATCGTTCATTACATATTTCTGATGGCAGCTTATCAAAATATTGAAATCGGAGCAAGAGAATTGTCTTTAGAACTCTTCATCTTAAGAACAGGAGCCTATACGCCAAATCTTGAAACAGTTTATTTTAAGCTACTTAAGTGTCTTATTAAATTTTAACGTTTAAAATACTTTTGCAAACCCAAGCGACCGCAATGCACTGTTTCCAGTCGTTTGCCTGGACGTTTATTGATGTTTACCACATACACACACCCCGTACTCCACGAACAAACACAAATCGCATTTCATCAACTCAATACAGCTTATTATAGGCACAAAAATATCAAAGACTGCAACTCATTTGTATGGATAGTCGGTCTGGATGTATTTTAGCCTCATTATTAGCCATTTGGTTGCTGCATTCTCGATGAAATCAAAAGTTAACGAGCATAGCAACCGACAATGGGGCAGATAGCAGCAGCATCGGCAGCAGGGTCATTTGTACGTTTTGATTTGGCGGAAACAGGAAATGATTTTTGTACATGTGAGTGTGTCTGTGTGTGTGTGTGTGCATGTGTTTGGTGTACGAGTGATGTACAGCATTGTTGCTGTTACAATGTACCGACAATGTTCGATTGAGAGTTTTCCGGATCCTTAATGCAGTTGCAATTTTGTTGGATGTTACGGCAAAGTGTTTGCATTGGAATAAATAGTTCAGAACTACAGCACAGCTACGTTTATGTGGCGCCGGCTAATGAGTTTTCTCGCATGTGAAATAAGATTCTGATTGGGATTATAGTTTTTGCCATTTGTATTATTAATTACGATGCAGTAAGGTAGTGGCATTTTAATGAGATACACACATAGATAAAAATGGAGTTTTTGTGAAAATATTAATAATCTCGGAACATTTTCGTAGAGATAAAAATTTGCAATAACGAATAGTTACTTCAGTCATGCTTTATTACAATAACCACGATCATATAATGACCAACAAATTGAACAAATTCTGGACACCAACAACAATGTGCAGAACGGCTAAGTCTTTAATCCATTATCCATATGTGGAACAGGTAAAACAAAACATTGGAAATCACTAGTAAAATATTTTTGGGTCTATAAGTTTTTAAGGTTCCTCTTATGAAGGTAGGAGAATAGTTCATTTGTAATAAAGCATTTGTGACATAAATATCTAAGCCTTAAAAGTTAGTTCATCAATCTTTAATTGATTCTTAATTTTTGTTTTTATTGTAATTTGGTATAAGAATTTGTGACAAACTTTCGAAATCATGACGTAAACCTTTCAACAACTGATGATATGCTACTAGAGGGATATGCAAATATTGGGAATTGGAATATATACAGTTTTCGAGTTCTTCAAGTTTTCAAAATATCTGTCGGTGATTTCCAGACTAAATAAAGTCACAAAATACTGTAAAAACTTAAATCGTATATATTTCTACTGAACCCATTGTTAAGGAGAGACAAATAAGTTCAAAGATCAGTTACATAGGCACAAATTACAGACATTACATAAAAATCGACAACTAAAAGGATATAATTAAAAATTACAAAATTACAAAAAAATAAATAAATAAATAAATAAATAAATGTAATCGCTAGGGATTTTTAAAACATACCGAAAATATATCGCTCAACTGTTTTAAAACTAAACACTTGTACGCCTTAAACCCTTTATCTGTAATTTTACTTAAGATAAGCGATACATCTTCAGAAAATTCTAGTAAACCCTAAGCCCGAAATTTTTTAGCCTATATGGTCCATATCTTCCATATTTTGTAATTCCTCAGCCATATGACTAGAGAGGGTATATATTATTTGATACAGCCAAAATGTGGCTCATCGAAATAACGAGTTCAGACCCTAGGTCCCTTTGGACCAAATCCGTTTCAGGACATTTGGAGTCGATCTAGCGATGTCCGCCCGTCCGTTGATCTGTCTGGCTGGTGCGGACTATAATTCTCGAAGGGAGTGTCCGATTCTGTCCAAACTTGGCACATCGTAATATTTTTATTTGGAGATGGGCAATATCGACTCTCTCCTTCTGGTACCTCCCACACAAAATGTCAATACTTTCAAAGAAAATAATTTACTGCACAGAAAGAGAAAGAGTAATCCGATTTTGCTCCAACTTTGCGAAACCTAATATTTGCATCAGTGCTATGTCATGCTCGAAAACAAAAAATATCGGCCCATCAGGTCCATCAAGTACCTCCCCCATATAACTCTTATAAAATGTAAAGTAAGAGTCCGGCTGTCTTCAAATTACACACATAATAATAGTTTTATTAAGCCAAGATTTGGTGTGAAGATGAAAGATATCGTAAACTTGCAATTTCCATAAACGCAAGATCTGTTGTAAATAGGGTAGAGATCGGACCATTCCTTGTGGCACCTCCCCCACAATGGATTATAAAATCTGAAATAAGCATCTGGTTCTTACAATATTTTTAATAACTCAAGGTCTGGTGTGAAAATGGGACATATCGGTCTACTTCTTCTGGTACCTCCCTTAACACGCGAAATTAACATTAGATTACATTTAGACTTGGTGCATCTCAATATTTCTATCAACACAAGACCGGTTATAAAGATATTAGAGATCGGACCATTCCTTCTGGTACCTTTCTTTTATACCAACATTTTTTCAATACCAACAAAGAATGGCTATTCCCATAAAATCAATCAATTTCCACAGAATAAAATACCTCGCTTTACTTCTAAATCTAAATCTCAGTACTTTTTGAATTTTATTATTTATTTATTTATTTTTTTTTTTTTTTGAGATGCAACTAGTGTTGCTCTGTATCGTGGTGCGGCATAAGAATAAATACAGAAATCCATTTTAGTCATTCGAGTATAAAATGGCCGGAAAGGGATCATTTCGAAGTGGGGCTAGGCCTCAGGACCTCCAGGGTATTTCCCTGGTTCGGAAGTTGCCGAAGTGTACTACTTTTTGCTTGTTGCATTAAGATTCTCTAAACAAATGCAAAATCGTTTCTTAACCAAATGTATATCTAAAGCCTCCAAAATTTCTTTACTATAACCCACACAAATTCTCCGATATCTCAACAAATCAAATTCCATACCAGGAAAATATTCTCAATTCCTTCCACACACACGTGTATGAGCACATACATTGTATCGCTCTCTTTTTGCTTACTTCCTCTGCCATTCGAATTTCTCCAGCTATGCATTTTTATTAGCTTTTGATCAAATTCTGTTTGTATTTGTTCATCGTTTTATGGATTATTTATTTTAGTTTATCATTTCCACCCTACTAAGCTGGGCATTAATATTATTTTCTTAGCTGTTTATCGTTTTTTGTTTGTCGTTCGTCGTTTGCCATTTCTCTTTTCACCGTATTTGTGCTCCGTTTCCGTTCTGTTGCTAGTTTAGTTTGTCTTCGCCGCGCTGTGTAGAAGAAACATAACATTTTAACAAATCTCCCGTAATAAATCATTTTTGTGGTATTTTCTATTCGGAGGGTCGGTCTTAGAGTAGTAGAGGAATCTTCTCTAGAACTTCGTTATGGGGAACGTGTATTTATAGGGACTTATATTGGGATTCATGTGGATTTGATGTGAGCATGAGAAGTTCTTGTTTTCGTTTGTTGCTTCCGTTCTTTTTTTCCATCGTCCCCGGTTTGTATGTATTTTCTTTTTCTATTCCTAATATGTGAATATGTGTGTGTGTGTGTTATGCTGCACTTTTTGCCATCTCAATAATAATATTCTTTACGTTTCTGGTAGGATGTAACATTCCCAAAACCATAACATCGACATTTTTCACATCGTTTTAAACACTTGAATGGTGTTGGGTTTACTTTAACGTAACACATGGATATTAGAGTGGTTTCAAGTAAACTAGTAATCGTAAATATTTCTACAAATTAAAAATCCTTTTTTAAATGTTTTTTTTTTAGAAATAGAAAAAATGGCTTTTTTTTAGAAATAGAAGAAATGGTAATCAAAAGTGAAAGAGATTTAAACAAAAAAGTAAGTTCAGCTGTGTACCCATTACAAACTGCGAATATCAAATATAAGCCCTAATGGAAAAATTTACAAAAGATCGGAAGTTTGAAGGTTCCTTATGTTGACGATTTGGACCCATAATAACCCAGAGTAATATAAACAAATGGACTTCTGGCAACCGAAAAAAATTAATATACCTTTTATGCTATGTATGGTTCGTAAGATGCCACAAATATTCGTTTTCAACTCATTCGGCTGGATATACTAGTGGACTCATTGTAGCCAATTCTTGGGAAAGGCCTGAAGCTGATTGCCCCAGTGGGGGCAGGGTGTGCTTACCCACTTTAATGTTTGTATCCATTTTAAAGTAAACCTATATAAACGCTTTCTGCTCACATATTATTGATATTTTTTTGCTCTGTGCAGGGAACAACGCTATGTGGTTTGTATGTGTGTGCGTGTGTGCAATCTTGTTAGTATTTTGCACAGAATATATGTCAGTAACGAAATGCAATATCCTTTTTTGAGTGCAGTGTTTAGAGTTAATAGAAAATAGTTTAGTATTATCCTTTTTTGGCTTAAATAGAAATACAATGACCAAACAAGTTGTTCGCTCTCGCCATGTGTGGTTGGCTGTGTTTCGTTTTTATTTTTTTCTATATTTTTTTTTATTCTTTTCTTGTGGCCACTGGCATGATGAGTGACCACCGCACACACACTCACACACAGCAGCGAACCATTATTCAGTTATCATGAAATAAGGAAAATTCTGCTGCTTCTGTTGCTCCTGCTTCGTTAAAATCCCATTAATATTTATAAGCTGCTTTATGGCTTTGAGAAGGGTTTCCTTCGCCTTTTTTGTATGCATTCGCTCATGTGTATGTATTTTAGTTTCATTTTTAGGTCACCGCATCCATTTGCCCTGTCTGTAGATGTCTGTTTTTTTTCCCTGCAGATCAAAGCTGTGGGAAACATATTTATTTTTATGTCTTTCTTTCTTTCATTTCTTTTTTTTGTTCAAGATTTTCATCTCAAATTACGTTGCCAAGAAGAAGTGGAAGAAGACGAAGCGTCGTCTTCATTTTCGAAATGTGGACTTACCTGAAACTACGCTCGGATATATCCTGTAATTCGTTGTCAATGAGTTTCAATGTTTTCAGTCTGAGGCCCTGGAACGTTTCGTCATCGACACTCTGTAGGTGGGTGTTGGACATTTCAATGTAGCGCACCGAACTGTGAATAAATTCTGCAAATAAAGAACGACAGAGGAAAGTAAACGAAAATGAAATCACCATTATGATAACTGAAATGTTTTGGCAAAAATAATAATAATAAAAATTATTCAATATTTCCTTGATTGTCTTGTTGTTGTTGTTGTTGCTGTTGTTATATTTTATTCGATATCGCCTTTTGGGTTTTCTGTCTAACCATATCGATCGACCGATTTTTATGTAAATTTGGTGTCAATTTTTTTCCATTCTCCAATTTAACAAAAGGGAAATTTGTTCATCTGATAAAAATCTGGCAATTTTGTTGTGTCCCAGTATTCCCAATATGCCGCACACACACACAAACACCTATATGCGTGGGACAACATCAAGTAAAGGATGAGTCCAATCGAAAGGCAAAAAAGGGAAAAGCCGAAAACGTTTACAGAATATTTCGTTTTCTTAAATTTAATTTAACAGAAAAAATATGCAAATATTTACTTTACAATCACCAAACATTTCATTCACAATAAGCCGGGTACTCACACACACCAACACACATGTACATGTTGCTGCTACTTTAGCGTAGATATAGTACAGAGACCGACAAAAGGAGAGTAAACATTAAAAAAAAAAAGTTGAGAAGGGTTTATTGTTTGCTTTGCCTATAAAATCAACTTGGAGAAAAAAGAAAATGTTTTAACTGCGGAATCCTTTCGAGGGCGTGATAAAGCCGAAAAGTAATGGATTAAATCAGATCCAGTGCTATTTAGTAAAAACTTTTGCTATTTGGATTTTTTTGTTGTGGTATTTGAATGTTATGCTCAAGGCATATGGAATGTGGCACCTCAGATAAACATTTCGAATTCAACGCAAGGGCGATGAATGCCTCTAACCAACATTAACTTAATCGGGCAATAACACAATGTGGAGTCATAACAAATAAATTGCATTTACACAAAACCTGATTATCAGCCAATCAAGTGATGATATATAGAAGGTTATTAGAAACTGTAGTTTCTTTGAAAGGAAGCGGAAATCAGTTACCTGGCCTCAGATCTTCTCGAAAAATAATTAAGTTGACATGAAGTTGAGGAGTTGGACTTTTTTCTGTGGTTGATGCCGATAAGAAAGGCTTTATAAAGCCAGACAAAATCAGCACTAATTAGGGAATTTTAATACCCTGCACCATACATAGTATGGTGGGTATATTAAGTTCGTCATTCCCTTTGTAACTTATCGAAATAATAATTTTAGACCTTTACAAAGTATATATATTCCTGATTAGCGTAAATTTCTAACATGAAATAGCCCTGTCCGTCTGTTGTAATCACGCTATAGTTAAAACGAATTAAGATAGGAAGCTAAAATTTTTCACAGATCAGTCTTTTGTCTGCTGGCAGGTCAAGGACTGGAATATACCGGCCCAGGATATCGTATAGCCTTCATATAATGGCACTCTCCGATATTCGGTATTTTGATGATTTTAGCCACATTTTTCAATGGAACTAACTGGAATTCTATACAAGGAGTTCGTTGATAGTACCCTACTCCCTGAAAGAGAATGCACTATACTGGTCTACGATATCGTATATTACCCATTTTTTTTGGTGATTTTAGCGACATTTTTACCGAAATTGTTTCAAATTTCGTATTTAAAATTCGTAATGACAAAAAATGACCTCGCATAGCGTCCATAAACGATACCTCCCGATATTCGGTATTTTGATTAGTTTAGGGACAATGTTCAACGCAATTGTTTCAAATTTCGTATGTGAAGCTCGTAATGGGTACTACAACCTATGGCGGAAAATTGTTTCTGTAGGCCCACGTCTTCATACAGCCACTGAGTACTTCACACTTTGGAAGATTATTGTCTATAGAGGTCCACACGTATAGCCCCCGATTTGTTTCAAATTTCGTAATTAAAGTTTGTAATGGGTACTACAGCCTAAGACAAAAAAATTGTAAATGCAGGGCCACGTCTTCGTATAGCCGCCATGTAACGAGTTTCCTTTGAGCGGTATTTTTCGACGGAATTTTTGTAAGTTTTTCAAGTTTCTTCAAATGGTAGAGGGTATTAAAAGTTCAGGCCGGCCGAACCACTAAAAAAGTGGGTTTAAACCCTACGTCTCTTTGGATTAAAATTTTGGAGTCGGTTTAGCAGTCTGTCTCTTGTTGTCATACGAGAGCTTCTAGTGGGAGTTTCCTCTAATTGATTCAAGCTTGTTTCATCGTAAAATTTTCCTAAAATGTATAATCAATTCGAAAATGGACAATACTAGCGTCCTCTTTATGTTAAACCCCAAAGAGTTCGAAGTTAAAAAAAAATTGGAACGTTTTTGTCAGTGTTCCATGTGACATTTTGAAAAAATCCCAGTGAAGAAATTTAAAATGGAGGTGGGGCTATGGTCAGAATAGAACCCTATTTCTTTTGGTGATGATCGCATAATATTTAGGGGTTGAAATGGACCAAAAACTGAAAAAAATCCTGATTTTGTACTTGCTCTACAGGTCACAATTATAGACCAATCGACGCGGAATTTCGCATGTAGCTAGGGTTTAGGGCTGGCAAGAAGCCTACCCATTTGGGTGGTAATCGGATAATATTTAGCGGGTAAAATAGACCATATCTTTTTTGTTGAAAAAATTCAACATTTTTCATTAAAACGCGAATATTTTAAATCCCGGCGAAATCACAAAGCCATGACAAGGTTACTTCTGATCTTTACATTGATGTTAACATCCAACAAAACGGATATATAGCAAAATATGTGCGATATATATGTTTATCAAAGAAGATATGCTTGAAAAATCTCTTATATGTCGAGAACGGCTGAACTGATTTCGACAGTTCTCATTAATTTAGAATGGCCTCTTGGCAGGAAACATAAAACGTCTAAAAAAATCACATAAAAATATCTCTCTAAAGATGAAAATATTGATTTTGTAAAATTTTCTCATATTTTTTCAATTTTGCATATTTTTGGCATATTTTAATTTTGAATTAAACATTTGGTAATATTTCTACAGCTAACAAAACTACAACGACAACACAACAACAACGACAACACAACAATAACATAAGGACTTGCTATAAATAAACGGATCTTTGTTATTGTTTAAAACTGAGCCATGCCAGAGCTCACTTACACCATCCCATACATACATATGTGTATATTTCCATTGCATACATTTGAATATGTTATAGAAATGTCTGTGTGAGTGTGCGGTTTCATTTCGACGTTCATATATATTTTTGAAAACATATGAATAAAAAATAGTTATGTAGTTTGAGTCAAGCTCAGAGTTGTGCGTGTCGAGCGAAGAAGAAAGGAAATGTTTCCGAAAAAAACACTCCGACCATAAATGCCACAGTTTTGAGGTTTTCTACAATGTTTTCTTTACAACATGCTGCCTGCCACACATACGGTGTGTTCGGCAACTTCGCTGATGTGTGCTTCTGGTTTTCTTTTCTTGTTTTTCGTTCTGTGGAAATATAGAGTATGTTTTTCAAATTTGCCTTGCCATTTGTATGTCTCCGGTTGTTGTTAGTTGGCTGAGTCGCTTTTCTCTGTGAACAGCAGAGAATGGTTGGCTGGCTGACTGACTGACGGCCAACGAGAAAAGGAAACTTGTTGAAACACACATAACATTTACATTTTATGTAGATTTTTCTTTGGTGGATTTTTATTTGGAGTGTGTTCTTTTGCATCTGCATATTATTGTACGTTTTCCATCAAGGCCATGCCCACTCACACACTCGCACACACACGCAAACTTTTGTCAAAATGAAAAATGCCAACGAAAAATAAATAAACACACACGTACATATACACATATTTGAGGATATTTTTAATACGTTTAAGTTTTCTTTATTCAAAACAGACGAAAGAAACTGTGCGAACATATCTTTGGTCGAATTTTCTTTGTAAATTGCTTCCTCTTCCTCATATATTCTCCAAATTCAAAATTGTTTATGAATAGATTTTAATTCATTAAATTCATGTTTTTCAGACTTTTAAATCTTGTCATGAATGATTGACATTTAAGTTATTTCTACAAGAATTGCTTGGGGTTTAGTATTTTACATACATGCACTTAGCAACGATTTATTTGTGAAGAATTCTTTGTGGGGTGTGTGTTGGGCTGATTGGTGAAGTGCCTCAAAAGGGGAAATCGACATACTTTATTTTAAAAAGTTGTGGTTATCCCTCAGCCACAATTAAAAGTCATTTAAAAATATATTAAACTTCGACATGCTAATTTTTGAGGGTATTGTGGAAAATTATTGCAAGTTTATAAAACCTTTTGTATTAAGGAGTATTTGGTGCATCCTTCACCGACTTAAACGATACATGTTAGTTGAATCCGCTAGGACTAAACCTAAATTTAAAGAAAAAAAAAAAAACACTTTTAGGTTAAGAGGGAACTTGAATCTAGGGACTTTGTAAGAATTTATCTCTAGACCAGCACAAGGCTTCTCTTGTGAACTATTTAAAAATAATTAATGGATTCTTACAAGCCTACGAACGTATTTTCCTAAGAAATTTTCCATTGAGAATAAGAAGACTAAAAACGGTATTTTTTTGGAGTTTTCTCTTGATCTCCATTTGTTATACCCTCCACCATACTATGGAGGGTATATTAACTTTGTCATTCCGTTTGTAACTCCTCGAAATACTCATATCAGACCCAACAAAGTATATATATTCTTGATCAGCGTAAAATTCTAAGTCGATTTAGCGATGTCCGTCTGTCTGTCTGTCTGTCTGTCCGTCTGTCTGTCTGTCTGTCTGTCTGTCTGTCTGTCCGTCTGTCTGTTGTAATCACGCTATCTTTCGAATGAATTGAGATAGATGGCTAAAATTTTGCACACATGTTTATTTTTCCAGTAGGCAGGTTAAGTTCGTAAATGGGCCATGTAGGTCCATGTTTTCATATAGCCCCCATATAACGGTACCTCTCTATATTCGGTATTTTGATGATTTTACCGACATTATTCACGGGAATTGTTTCAAATTTGGCATTTGAAGTT